CAAAGGCAAGCACTGATTCAAGGGGGTAAAGAAGTAGATTTCAACTCTCCAGCAGACGATAATTTGTAGCTATTTATTCCATCACATTGTGGTTGCTCTAAGAATGATAATATATACCCTTAATTTATTACAATCTTAAATTTTTTTAAGTTTATTTACTTATTTTGAGAGAGAGAGAGACAGAGTGAGTGAGCAGCGGAGGACCAGAGAGAGAGAGAGGGAGAGAAAGAGAATCCCAAGCAGGCTCCGTGTTGTCAGCACAGAGCCTGATGTGGGGCTCAATCCCACAAACTGTGAGATCATGACCTGAGCCAGGAGCAAGAGTCGGACGGATGCTTAGCCAACTGAGCCACCCAGCTGCCCCTTAATTTATTACAATCTAACTTGAGCTAATTTTATACTGTTTCACTTTCAATGTAAAAAGCTTAGAATAGTGTAATTCCATTTATTCCCTTCCTTTCACCTATGTGTTATTACTGTCGTAGATTCTTTTTTGTCTGTGTTATGAACTGTAACATACATTGTTATTTTAAACAGTCAATAGTTTCTTAAAAATTTTGAAAAAATGGTCCTTTATGTTCACATATATTCACCTTTTATGGTGTTTTCCTTTCTGCAGACTCAGCCAATTATTTGGCACTATTTCCTTTACATTTTTATCTTAATATTTCTATTTGTTATTTCTTTATGTTCATATTTATATTTTATATCATATTTATGCAGTTTTGGCCTGCTGCCAATATTTCTTATCAGCTTTAATTTATCTGAAAATGTCTATTTAATTGAATAGTTGTTCACCATTGAATGCTATTTTCACCGGATATTGAATTCTGGGTTATTATTTATTTTATTTATTTATTTTTAGCATTTAAAGATGTTATCCACTCAAACATTTCTTTTGTCACTTTTTTTTGTGCCTTTTTATGTTACTCCAATTACATGTATGCTGGACCAATGGCTATTTTCCCAGATGTCTCATTCAGTTTTTGCTTTTTAAATATTTTTTCCTCTGTCTATTTCAGTTTGGACTATTTCAGTTGACTTGTATTGGTGTTTATTCTTTATTTTGCTGTATCCAATCTGCTCCATTTCAGATAGTGTTATTTAGTTCTAGAACTTGTATTCTTTTTTATTTTTTTATTCTTCTGCCTTAATTCTCCATATGTTCATGCTTTAATCTTTTTCTTCTAAGTTCTTTAACATATTTGCAGCAGTTATTATAAAAGCCTTTAATTCCAACATCTGAATCACCATGCATCTGTGTGAATTTTTCTTTCAGTTTCGAGCCATAGTCACTGCCTTTTTCGTATCTAGTACCTTTTTTATTGTTCGTTGGACTTTGCAGATGGTATGTTGTAGATATTCTGTAAGGCAAATGACAAAAAGAATCATAATTATGTGCTCTTCTTTTCTGCTGGTTCAAGAAAGGTCTTGCTATGATGGCCCGTACCAATGAATTTAGCTCAGTTTAAAGCTAAGCTCTTTAATCTTTCATTTAGAAACTTAAAGCATTTGTTGTTATTACTTTATAGAGCCTTTTACATTATTTCCTGTGTAAGAATTCTCTTGGTTTCAATTTGCAGTTGACCTATCTTGGCATATTTGTATCTAACCCTAATAAGCCTCCACTAATAGATCTGGAGAGAATGAGGGTTGGTAGCACTGGGGCAGGAAAAGAATCAGCATTGCCTTGTAGGATATCAGGGAGCAGCAAGGTCTTCATGCAAGGCAGGAAGCTACATTAGACAGAGAAGGAGATGGTGCCTGAGCCAGCAAGAGAGGCTCAGTGTGGGGTGAGGTTGGAGGGACTCAGAGCCACCCAGACTTTCCCTTACATTGCCATTCCAGTGGGCTGCTAGGTTTTTACAGTATCTCTCTTTCTCATTCTTTTTCTTTGTTAAAAATTTTTTAATGTTTATTTATTTTTGAGAGAGAGATGCACACAGAGTGTGAGTGGGAGAAGGATAGAGAGAGAGGCAGACACAGAATCTGAAGCAGGCTCCGGGCTCTGAGCTGTCAGCACAGAGCCCAACATGGGGTTTGAACTCATGAACTGCGAGATTATGACCTGAGTCAACGTCCGATGCTTAACCGACTGAGCCACCCAGGGCCCCCTCTCATTCTTTTTCAATGAGTGCCACAGCTTTAACCCTAGGTGAATAAGAAACTGAGCTCTGGACGAGGGGCAGTAATTTAACTGGTGGTATAATTTGGCATCCTATAGCTTAAATATTAGGCTACTTTCCCCATTTTCAGCCCTGATGCTGAAAGAGTAACATATTTTTAAAAGAATAATAATTTATAGTCCCTAATTTTTATTCTGTGTTTTGACCAAGACTTTAGGAAATACCATGCCATTCAATTTCTTTAAACTATCCAGTGTCTTTAGAAGCAACCACCCACCACACAGTCTTGAATTACTCATGCCATACTTATCACACATTATGTGACAGACACCTCATAGTTCTCAAAGCCTTGCCTTTACTAGACATCACATTACAAGATCGTAATCTGCTATTATTTCACTGTTCTGAACTATGGGAGAAAGAAGTATCAGTCTGCATCCCATGTCATAATACTGGATAGATTCTCACTGTTTCAGTCTGACTCAGGCAAGACAGCCAATCCTGTGATGATTAGTTTTATGTGTCATCTTGACCGGGCCTTGGCATACCCAGATGATTTGATTAAACACTATTCTGGGTGTGTCTGTGAGAGTGTTTTTGGATGAGATAACATTTGAATTGGTAGATGAATAAGGCCGATTTTTGTCCTCAGTATGGGTAGGTCTCATCCAATCTATTGAAGACCTGAATAGAACAAAAGGCTCAATAAGGAAGAATTCCCTCTCCCTGCCTGACCGTCAATGAGTTCAGACATAGGTTTCTTCCTGCCTTTGAACTTGGACTCAGACTGGAACTTATGCCATCAGTTTTCTTAGGTCCCCAACTTGCTGACTGCAGATGGTGGGACTTTTCAGCCTCCATAATTACCTGACCCAATTCTATGTATATGTATGTGTATATATATACACATATATATGTATGTATGTATACACATATATATGTATGTATGTATATAGTATATAGTATATATATATATGTATGTATATAGTATAATTTTTTGGCCATAGACTCAACATAGCTAGGAATACAACTTGACTCCTCCAATTTTTCCAATGACAATCCTGCTGCTGATTTTTGTATCAGTAAGATTTCTTAGTTGTAAGCAACAGACATAGATTGTCTGATTTAATTAGAAAAGGAATTTATTTAAATGATAATGGATAGCTCATAGAATTAGCAGGAAGCTGGAGAAGTAAAGTCATTTCAAACAAAGAAGAGATGCTTACACACTAAAAGACTACAAAGGTGTTGCCCCAACTACAGCACCAACACAGGATTTTGGATACTTACTGGCACACTGGTCACTGACACCTGCATAAACCAGATGGGGGTTCTCTTTAGGTGAGAAATGTCAGAATTTGCTGATGGGTTGGATATGAGAGAATGAGCGGAATAAGAAAATGAGGATAATGATTATGATTATTTTGCCTGGACAACCAGGTTCTCCAGGTGGGACCAGAGAAGATTGGGGAGGAGTAAGTTTTGGGGGTGGGGGGGACCAAGACTCTTATTTGGGTATGTTGTTTTTGAAAAATGTACAAGTCAACGGGGATTAGGGCTCTCTTTCCCTCTCTCATTCCTCTTTCTCTGTCCTCTACCCTGTAGTTCATGTGCCTGGAGTCATGGCCTTCTACAAAACCCAAGTTACATACCTTTTAGTTTTACTCAGTAGACACTATTATACATATTTTTTGGATTCAGTTAGTAGAGTATTTTACCCTTCTTCTCACTTCACCAGTAATATTCCCAAAGTACTCTGATGAATTGAGTTTGGTTGAAAAGCCGATGGGGGTTCTAATAACACTTGGCCAGGTGGCAGGTGAAAGAATGAACCCTCTTTCCCTAAATATGGGAGAGGTGGTTTGTAGAAAATGATCTGAACAATCAAAAAGTAATCTGATTACTCATGATTTTGTAGAACACTGATAATTGCAACCACAAGGGAGGCAGAGTCAATATTGTTTAACATATATGCCATTTGCACTTTTAATGGTTCCCTTCTAGCGAGGCAGGACTGTGTGATTCCTTCTAACCAGTGGGATGTGAGAGCAAAGGTTCATTCTGATTCTGTAGTAGTCTGATGTTCCAAGAGGGTAAGACATTATTACCTGACAAAGTAATTCCACTTAAGACTGTTTGCTATTGGTCTACCATTGCTGACCCTGGGAATGAGTATTTCGAGTGCAGTGACTGTCATGAGTCAGGTGCTGTGTTTAGAAGGAGGAGAAACAAAAGAACTAGAGATCCAGAGTGTAGAGAATTGCCACTTGAAAGGCAGAGAGTAGAGTCCTGGAGATACTGGGCACCATTCAGGAAGACATAAGTGGTGGAGTAGTCAAAGGGAACACCTTTCCTTTTACTCTTCCAATCTGTACCAATGGGAAATTCCATTGGGTTCACAGTACTTTTCATTAATTTTTCTCATAATGAGTTCACAGGTTATCCATACCATAAAAGAAAAGCAAAATCACCAACTCTCTTCCTACTAGTATGATTCCCAGGTATAATCTTCCACAGAGAGTAAAAGTCAGTTTTAGAGAGCATAGAGACGGAAGAGTAAAGAAAGGGCAACTGAGGAACTTCAGTGTGGTTGAAGAACAGCGTGGATGTGGTAGTCAGCTCACTTATGACTGTGTTAACTTTTCGCTCTGTGATATCAGAGAGTAGCTCTAGAGCTCTGAGAATTTGGGGGTGGGCTAAAGAGGGAGAAGGCAAGAAAAGAGAGGTAGAGGGAGTCATTCTAGGTAAACTTCACCAATCTTGTGATTTTCTTGCTACTAAAAGCTGCCATTCTTGAAGGCAAGCACTGCATGGTGTTGACACTTAGAGCATGAAGAACTGGGGACAAAATGGGTCAGGATGAATGACTCTCACCTAAAGCTGAATTCTTTGGGAACTGGATTTTACCAATGAGTTTTCTGAATGCAGCCTTTACATCTTTGTTCCTCAGACTGTAGATCAAGGGGTTCAGCATGGGGATGATGATGGTGTAAAAGACAGACACAATCTTGTCCTCCTCTGGGGATTGATCTGACTGACTTCTTTGGTACATGAAGGCAAGGGTCCCGAAGAAGAGGACAACCGTGGTGAGGTGGGAGGTGCAGGTGGAGAAGGTCTTGGCTCGTCCACCAGCAGATTTCACTCTCAGAATGGCTCTGATTATGAGTGCATAGGAGACCAGGATGATCATGACATTGGCCAGGAACATGAACTTGGCAAAAAAAAGGATGACAGTTGCGCTTTGTGTCATGCCGTTGCAGGCAAGTTTCAGCAGGGGCGGGAGGTCACAGAAGAAGAAGTTGATCTGATTGTGGTCACAGAAGGAGAGGGTGAAGGTGTACTTGGTACGCAGGATGGCCCCTGACACCCCACAGACATAGGCTGCAGCCAACAGTCCCCTGCAGGTGTTTGGAGTCATAGCAAGGTTATAGCGTAATGGGTTGCTAATGGCAACCAAACGGTCATAGGCCATCGCTGCCAGCAGGAAACACTCTGTGCCTGCACAGACGGTGAAGAAAAAGAACTGGGTCACACATTGGCCAAAGGAGATGGCCGTCTTGCTTGTAGCCAGTGTGGCCAGGATCTGAGGAGTGATGACTGAAGCGTAGCAGGCATCCAGCAGGGCGAGATGGCTCAGGAAGAAGTACATGGGGGTGTGGAGTTGGACATCCATTTGGATCAGAATGATCATCCCCACGTTCCCCAGAAGGGTGACGATATAGAAAATGAGAAACATCAGGAAGAGGGGAACTACCAGTTCAGGGTGATCTGTGAAGCCCACAAGAATGAACTCTGTCACAGCAGTTAGATTTTTGGGAGCCATAGCCTCGATGTTAAGTAGGTGGCCTGAAGAGAAGAATGGAATCAGTGATTCCAGAACTGAAGGCCTTTGCTTTCTTCAGTGTCAGATATTAGGTGAATATCTCAGATAATTCTCTGCTCAGAGAGAGAAGAAAATGTTTAACATCTTAAGAATCCACATCTAGTAATTACTATGAGAGTAACCTATCTCTACACCCTTCCTGAAATCGGACCTTGGATCAGTATTTCTTCAAGTTTTCTTGCTTGTTATCTTTAAGACCAGAGAACCTTAGACTATCAAGACTGTAAGGGATCATTGTAGAGTCTTTCTATTCTAGAACATTCCCAACAAATTGTCATGTAGCCCTGGTGTACACCAGGCCTCAGAGGGTCTTTTAGGCTGTGGCTTCCTGAGTTGTCTGATGCAGGGCCTTATGCTAACCCCTTCTGTGGTGGGGACTGCTGGGGGTACCCTATCTTTGAAAGTCTTCCTGTTGGGAAAGTCACATGGTTTTTTCTATATTTTCTACACGTTGATATATTCTACCATTGATAATATGTGAATTTCCTTTCTCCCAAGACAGTGTTAATGATCTCATCTCCAAGTCAAGTATTTCCAGTTAATTCCTTGTGAGTGCTTTCATAATCTACCTCTGCTCTCCTGTGAACCAGGTCATCATCTGTCTTGGGTTTCTTTTTCAAGGGTCCATGAAAGAGGTTCTGTGGAGACCATTAGATTTATGGAGCCCTTGTTCTGTGTGGGACACTTCCTTTCCACATTAACTTAGCGATTCCTCTCAATAATCTTGGAATAACCTTTATAGGTTTCACTCTTGAACTATGTTAACCAAGGCTCAGAAAGTTAAAGTGGCTTGTCAAAGAACAAATTGCAAGTGGAGAAGCCAGGATTTAAACCATGGTGTTGTAACTCCAGGGCACTTCCTATTTTAGTGTCCTACACTGGTCCTTCTTCACCTTCTACTTTAATTTGTAGCTTCTGTGGTCCAGAGTTATAGGGTTTATAGTATTTGGTAGAACCAGTTTTCTACAGAACTCAGGCTTATTCTTCACTTTCTGTCAGTGGAATGAGTTCTTCTGTCAGCTACTGATAGCTCCAGGATCTACCCTCTTGGGGGTAGGGATAGAGGCTACTCCATCAGGGATTCCAAGATTCACTGGGAGGCAAGGTTAAAGAAGACTTGTTTGAGAACTATGGGGATCTGATTAGCCATAGAACTTCCACAGAACACTTTGGGGTGGTCTGTCAATTTTCATCCCTGGAATTCTGTGCATTCAAAAGGCAAAAACTTAGTCCCCGTCTTTCAGACACAAACACCAGGGACACCAATTTTCTAATAACATCTTCAATAAGATGTGGAAATCAATGCATAACAAATCTATTGATTGACGGTAGCCTGAGTGTGGAGAATAAGTTTAGGAATTCTCTGATGGGTTAACAAGGCATAAAGAGGGGCGCCTGGGTGGCTCAGTTGGTTAAGTGTCCGACTTCGGCTCAGGTCATGATCTCACGGTTCGTGGTTTCAAGCTCCGTGTCAGGCTCTGTGCTGACTGCCGGCTCAGCTCAAAGCCTGGAGCCTGTTTGAGATTCTGTATCTCCCTCTCTCTCTGACCCTCCCCTGCTCATGCTGTCTCCCTCTCTCTCAGAAATAAATAAAACATTAAAAAAAACACACACACACAAGGCATAAAGAAATAGAAAGCCACAGGATGTATGCATCCAAGATTGGAAAACAAGATTAGGTAAACAGGGCAAAGGCCTCCAGTGTAGCACAAAGGTATAGGAATAGGGAATCTTAGGATGAAAACATCTAAGATTGGGTAAGTAAGATTAGATATTCAGGGCAAAAGTGCCTCTCCCCTCAACTTAGTACAATAGCAGAAAACTGCTTTCACAGGAAGGAAGGACCAAAATAGGTAAACAGGGCTATAGGCCACAGCAGGGCCAAGTTGCCCGGATTGGAGCTAATTAGCAAAAGAAAAGTGCCTTCTTGACCCTGAGGTAGCATGCTCTGTCTTTCTTGTCCCCTAGGCCAGTTTAGGTAAACAGAAGTGGCACCTCGTGTCTGCTGTAAACAACCCTCTGCCCAGTGTCAGGATTTTGTTTTGTATTGACCCAAACCCCTCACACCGCATATTTTCAAAATCTCCTCTTCCTCACACCCATGACTTAATGTTCACGGTTTCATTGGCTCTTTGTGCACGCCCATCACGCTTGTAAGCCTTCTGATCCTAGTAAGAACAGAGCAACGACCTTACGCAGGGGTCTTGTCTCCTCCTAGTCATTAGCTTTCTCGCATTTCAATCCTGCGTCGCTCTCATGCTGGACAAGAGAGAACTCCAGACCCAGAGTCTACACCACGTGAGCGTGGATTACCCTAGTTCCTCCTATTGCTCTCATTCTTTTTGACCTGTGCTCTCTAACCTGGGTCTAGTGGACACTGAAGAGGGGAGGAAGTCCTAGATTACAGAGCTGAAGGGAATGCTCGGGACTTTAAAAATTGGAGTCTAGGCATCTTTCCTCCAGAACACTGTTATTGCTGGGATTTCACCCCCCCACCCCCGTGCTCCAACCATCTGCTTCTTTTTGTCCTTTTCTCAAATGAGTTTCCTATCATTTTTATCTTCCCTGCTCCTTTTAACTCTGACTTGTACATCATGCTGGCCTATCACTCCTTAGAGGTCCATCACCTTTAGGACCATTGAGAAACTGAAAAGTTATTTGATTTGAACCCAGGATTTCCTGGTTCAAATATTTTAAAAAAGAGAGTTTTATAACGAATAGACATTTTTCCAAAGAAGACATCCAGATGGCTAACAGACACCTGAAAAGGTGCTCAACATCACTCATCATCAGGGAAATGCAAATCAAAGCTATAATGAGACACTGCCTCACATCTGTCAGAATGGCTAAAATTAACAACTCAGGCCACAACAGACGTTGGCAAGGATGTGGAGAAAAGGGAGCCTTTTTACGCTGTTCACGAGAATGCAAACTGGTGATGCCACTATGGAGAACAGTACAGAAGTTCCTCAGAAAGTTAAAAATAGAACTACCTTCCAACATAGTAGTTGCACTACTAGGTATTTATCTAAAAGGTACAAAAATGCTGATTTGAAGGAGTATATGCATCCCAATTTTATAGCAGTGGTAACAATAGCCAAATTATGGTGTGGTAGGGTCCCCTCCCTAAGGAATTGGAAAAAACAAACCCAAAACCTCAAGGCAACCTGGCTATACATGTACATGACATTCCTCACAACCTTGTAACATGAGACCACTTACTCAGACTGCATGTTTGTGTGTTACCATATATGGGAAGCAAAGAAGTAGAAAATGTATAAAAAACTACTCCACGTGGAGTTCAGGATTCAGTTCTTTGGGTTCTAACCCAACTGAGCCATGCCAGCATGAATAAAGTTGCTTCCTGGAAAGAAAAGTTTTGGTATCATGACTCTCTCTGTGTGAGAATCCTGCTGCAATGGAAAGAGACCAAATGTCCATTGACTGATGAATGGATAAAGAAGACAATATATATGGAATACTACCTGGTGATCAAAAAGAATGAAATCTTGCCATTTGCAACAATGTGGTTGGAACTAGAGTGTATTATGCTAAGTGGAATAAATTAGTCAGAGAAAGACAAATACGTGATTTGACTCATATGTGGAATTTAAGAAACACAACAGATGAACATAGGGGAAGGGAAGGAAAAATAAAAACAGAGAGGCAAGCCCAAAGAGACTCTTAAACACAGAGAGCAAACTGAGGGTTGCTGGAGGGGAGGTGTGCGGTGGGGGGATGGGCTAAAAGGGTGATGGGCATTAAGGAGGGCACTTTTGGGGATGAGCACCGGGTGTCATATATAAGTGATGAATCACTGGGTTCTATTCCTGAAGCCAAGACTACACTGTATGATAACTAACTTGAATTTAAATTAAAAAAATAAAATGATAAATTCATAAAAGAAATAAAAAGAGAGTTTTATTTATCCAGTTGCCTTTTGTCCAAAAGTTATAAAGTTGAAAGTGTGTAGCCAGTCCACATATTAACTATCTGCCTGACCCAAAGGGACAAAACATCAGCCCTACCTTCAGCGGGGCTGTGAATGGTATTGCTTTATTTAAAAAACCAGTTAATCAATTATTTTATTATTAGTATTATTTAATTATTAATAATCATCTTTCAGATATTTTAATTATTTTGAAATTTTTTATTTAAATTCTATTTAGTTAGCATACAGTGCAATATTGGCTTTGGGAGTAGACTCTAGTAATTCATCACTTTCATACAACACCAAGTGGAGTGGAGCTGGTGTGGTGACAGTTCTTTGAGATCTGCGCTGTTTTTAAAACTCAGTTTGGAAATTTTTAGTAGAGACATACTGAATTTGCACCCAACTCTATTATTTTGTTCTATGACTCGGTGACACCTTCTTTCATGACAGCATTTTCCATCCTTAGTTAGCCATAAAGTTGGGTTTGTTTGTTTGTTTTTGTCCTTCTTTCCACAGACATGGAGATTCAGAGATAAGGAGCCTGTGTTTTTGGTATGATATGCTTAACTAGAACGTTCTCCGAGGACTCTTTTCTTGCTATGGCTGTCTCTGAATCATAAGATTACATGGCTATTAAGATACTACTCTCGGGGTGCCTGGGTGGCTCAGTAGGTTAAGCATCCGACTTCGGCTCAGGTCATGATCTCACAGTTTGTGAGTTTGAGCCCCGTGTCGGGCTCTGTGCTGACAGCTCAGAGCCTGAAGCCTCAGATTCTGTGTTTCCTTCTCTCTTCCCCTCCCCTGCTTGCACTCTGTCACTCTCTCTTTTTCTCTCTCTCAAAAATAAATAAACAAAAAAATTAAAAATATATATTACTCCCAAAGTTTCAATAATTTGAACTAAATAACCAGTGAATTCAGATTTCTAAACAATCGTATGCTTTATAGACTTATGGCTATATCTCACTGGCTTAGTAGGATTTGGGTTGTCCTGGTTGGCCAATCCCAGCACCGTTTT